GTTGATAACTCAAAAAGATCGAAATATGCAATTTTGGAAACCATGCGTTTTAATGTTACTTTAGAAAATGCTTCCAAAAATAAAAAACTAGCATCTTCAAAGATTTAAAAAAAAAATGAGAATTGTTCAATGGTTTTCAAAAGAGACAATCAAGTAAATTTGTGAAGAAATTGGTATGGATACGTTTGCTACATTAGTAGACGAGTCAAGTGAAATCGTAATTTAGAAAAAAGAAATTACCTTATTATTTTTTATCGAGATTTTTTTTTTATTCTACCACTTGCAAAAGTTTCCCGCCACTGCATATTGCTAGAAATAGTGTGGATAGTATTTTTTTTTTTTTAATTAATTTGGTGGACGAATGTTTTGATGTCTTTAACATATAACAAATGACACTTGTTTCCAATATCTCAACAAAAAATGTTATGTTATTGAACTCTTTCTTGGGATTGTACACATCACTGTACATTAGAGTTCTTCACCCTTGAAAAAATTTGACTCCTAACTTGCAGTGCATAAGATTAGTGTGCAACATATTTGTGTCCAAAACTTTGACTCCATTACTTTGCACATCAACTTCAGTAAACACTTGTTATTGTAGCTATAAATCATGTAGATCACGTTCATTTTTCGTATGATTGATAACTTGGTGAATTTTATAAGAACAAGCTGCAAATATTCTTATTAAGCATCGATAAAGTATTACACCAAAATTATATCATTCGGAGTACAATATACACATGATGAGTCTTTCATTATACATCATTGCTAAACATGGATAACATATATGTCTTGAAGATGGTGGAGTCCCAAATGAAAATCAAAAGGAATTGTACTGTTGCTTAAAGCACAATCTTTGGTTTTGTTTTTCACAAAACAAGTGTAACAAATGATGAGAAACAACGAGTTGGAATATCTAGTCAATAAAGTTTTTTTTTTCAATTTGTGACATCTATAACATTGATATCTAAATATGGATGATGTATTTGCATTGCAGCTCGAGATGGTGTCTTAATATGCATTTTCATTGTTATGAGTTAAGATATTGAGTTATTCAAAATTGTGATAGACAGAGTGGTTCAGGATCCAATAACATACCCTTGTCTATGAAGAAAGAAAAATTGGTTCATTTAACCGAGCTTAACACTTCAAACTTTTCATATGTTATTGTTCATGACAATCAGCTCGACACATATTTTCTTGACATAAAATCTGCTTTAACAAGTTTTATGAAGATTGTAAAGACTCAATTGCATAACAAATGGTGTTAGATTCATCAAGAAACTATATTGTAAGATGTTGACAATGACAACATATTGGAAAGATTTCAAGCTATATGATCTTTACAAGTTGCAGAAGAATTAATTCGTTAATTATTTGATTAACTTAATTTACATTGATGATACAAGACATAGATATGTGGTTAACCTCTAAACAATATTATCTTTGGTAATATATAAGAAATGTATGACGTGGATATGTGGTTAGGCTGTGAGGAGTGGTCAACACCAACTCATCGAAAAAGTGGTACCACCTTTGCGTCACGTCACATTCATCACCAACCCACTAAAGACAAGAAATGATTATCACTAACTAGTGGCAGAACTAGCTAGTAGCCAGGGGTAACCTGTGCTACCCCTCAAGTTTGTCCGAGAAACATAATTTTTTTTATGTTGGCCTGGTGCTATTACTAGATTACGGAGGTGCTACTCCTAAGACCTTGCTGATGAAGATGATTAGACAAAGGATCACACGAGTACGTGTTCTTAACCTAATTTATCCTTAAAATTATGATTTTCCTCAATTCGTTTTTGACTAAGAATCCAAATGGGTTTCCGTATTGTTTTTTTTTTCTTTCACAATCGATCTCATCTGCAACTGTTAATAAGTTTTAGTTCACTCGGGTAATCCTTATTGCTGGAAATTGGTAAGTGCTAAGGTTTATTTTATTATGCCTTCCAAGTGTTTGATGTTATACCTAAAGCACTAGATTGAAACAAATTGGGTCTTTTTGATCATGAATAATAATGTGTTGCTAATTTGTCTCATCGACTGATGGAACCCTAAAGGTTAACTTATGAAAGACGCATAAACTTTTTTTGTTTCATTTTCTTTGGACCCCAAAATTTTAACTTATGTTATCTTGTTTGTGTATTAACAAATATCATTGGTGTCAGTTTATATAGATTTAAAAAAAATGACAAGCACCACTAGTACACACAATTTCGTTCTATTTCTTTGTAGATGTATCTTAGGGAAAGATACAACAAAATTACGATGCTTCTGATGGTACAAGGGCCTCCATGCTTAGTATTAGGCATTCCTAGAGAGCTTAAACTGTATCTTGTAGATTGAAAATAAAGCTATTATTTTAAACGAAGTAATTAGAGGTGGTCTAGCAAAGTTATAATCAATTCAAATGGCTTTAATTTCGTTATATAGTAGGATAGAATATAAAACTATATTTTATATGAATTTCCAATACAAAAACATTGTGTGGTTTTTATTTTAAAACTTTGTGTAGGTTTTAGTTGTTTATTGTTGAATTCAAAGTAATGATCATGGTTTATTTGTTTAATATTGTTAACGTCATCTTCCATTGAATTGCTTTGACTTGTATAGTGTAAGTACTGTTATACACTTATAGGTTTCAGTTGTTGACAAAACCACATACAACTCATTTTTTAAAAATCCATTTCTTTTAGACATAATGTATTCTTAAAGTGGAGAACATAAAGTGACAAAACATATTCCTAAACTCCTAAATTTTCCTCAAAATCCATAGATAGTATGTGGTTGTTCTAAGGTGTAAATTGACCAATTTATCTCTTACATGCTCAAACTTATATAGCTGATGTATGAGATCCTTTGTATGCATAGAATAGTCAAAAAAATTGTGCTACCCTTAAAGAAAGTTTCTGGTTCCGCCTTGTCACTAACAATATTCATTTTTTATTATTTTTTATTTTTATAACATCATATTAAATAAAAAAACATCATTTATAACATAAATAAATATTTTTATTTTTTTTATTTTTTTGTAACATTATATTAAATAAAAAACATAATTTATAACGTAAATAAATATTTTTTATCTTTTTATTTTTCTGTTACATTATATTAAATGAAAAACATAATTTATAACATAAATAAATTTATTGAAAAAAAAAAACAAATTTCATTAATTAAAAATATAGAAATTCAAAACCTAAATTACTAAAATAAACATAAAACATAAAAAAATAAAACATTACACTACTTAATTAAAAAAAATAAAAACTTAAAACACAAAACCATTGACAAATACTACTCGTTGTCATCACCATCCTCATCGTCCCTATCTGCCTCGTCGTCATCGTCTGCATCCTCATCGCCCTCATCCTCTTCGTCTTCATCGTCATTTCCCCTTTGGAGTTGTCTTCCTCATATGTGTTCGGTCAAATCATGACGTAGATTGTGATGTGTTTCACAATTTTGTATTTCCAAAACTCTAGAGAAGTATGTTGGGCTGCCAACTTGTATTACTGCAGGTGGATTAAATATATCGTTCCCGGTATATGGACAAATAGCCTTGCCCTCTTCTTCTATTATCATGTTATGTAATATAACACAAGCAGTCAACATCATCGTTAGTTTTTCCCTATCAGATGTTCGTGTTGGATGTTTGATTATGTGACATTTTTCTATTAGGCCTCCAAACGCTCGTTCCACATCCTTCCGTATAGACTTCTGTGCTAACTTGAATAATTTCTTTTTTCATCGGCTGTAAATGAATATGATTTGACAATAGTAGCATACTCTGGATATATCCTATCAGCTTGGTAATACTCATATTTATATTCATTTTCATTTAAAACGTATGACATATCTAAAACGTATGACATATCTGGTGTTTTACCCTGTAAAATATTGTTATGTAACTTAGATGCTTGAAACACATTCAGGTAATTGTTGGACTCCACCATACCAAAGAATGCATGCTAAAACCATAAATCTTGTGAAACAACCGCCTCTAATATTTCAGTCGGGACCCAATGATTACCTCACGTGAATTGACCACACCACGCATTGAGACAATTTGTCCACTCCTAATGTGTACAATCAATACTACCAAACATCCCTGGAAAACCATGTTTAGCTTGATGCGGGCATACAACGGTTTGACATCACTTTTAGTCGGATGTCGCAAGTATATGTCACGGTAAAGCTTTATAACATACTCACATAAAAGATATGTACATTCTCGACCCGTCCTCTCAGACATTTTCAAATATTCATCTGAAGCATCTGTAGTTATGCCAATGTCAATTGTCCAAGAGCAGCCGTACATTTTTGTATTTTAATAAAACCACGTTTACCTCTAGCATCTCATCGTAATTAGAAAAACTCATAATTATGTTCAAAATCTCTAGCTATACTTAGGAATAAATTTCTACTAATACGAAAATGTTCTTCAAATCTCGATATATCATATAAACTATCATGGGCAAAATAATCATGTCCAAAAGTTCATTTGCCCTTCTCGATCCTGGTTGATCAATTTTCTATGCTCCTTCTCGCGGTGTAAACTTTCACCTCTCGTATGAGTCATGTCTTTTGCCGCAGATAACAGTATGTGCAAAACCAACTCGTCATCAAAATCGTTATCCATTTTTTGTTGAATGTGTGTGTTTGATTTGAAACAGTTTGTATGTTTGTTTTGAAAAATTTATGTAAAAATGGATGTATATATAGAGAGAATAAAGTAAAAATAAAAACAAATTTTTTTTTAATACTTTTCAACTATCAAAAAGCCCCGGTCAATCCCCTCTTTCGTCTTCTTTCGTCTCCAACGCCACGCCACCTCCAACGTACTGGAGCCGGAGGTGGTGTTCACACGTGAAGAGAGGATCCACGTAAGCAACTCACGTGTGGAGCTCCCTCCACTCCCGGCAGGCTTAGGCTCTAAACAATTGGAATGGATGGGTGGTAAAGATACATACCATAAAGAAGACTCCCTACCCCACACGACCACAACCACTTCGAATTCGAATGGGAATAATGACAAGAGAAGCTGCTTAACTAGATGCCAAATTCAACCAAAACCATCCGCCATTTGATTCCCCTTTTGTCTTCCCATAAATACCCTTTTCGTCTCCACTCCCCTAATCATCTCTTTCTTTTCACATGGAAACATCAATCTCTGCACTAATCGCACAGTTTAGAGGATTGATTCCATTAACAACACCTTCCTTCTCCTTGTCGTCTTCGTCATCAGTATTCACGATATTGGCCTTGGTAGCTGGGATTTTGGTCTACTTTTATGGACCATTTTGGGGTGTTCGGAAAGTACCAGGTCCTCCAGCCATTCCCTTTGTAGGACACTTGCCTTTGCTTGCTCAACATGGTCCCGATTTGTTCTCTCTTCTCGCCAACAAATATGGCCCGATCTTCAGGTTTCACTTCCATTTTTGCTCTCTATCAAATCATGTATATCATATCATATCATATCATCTGTGCTTTTCTAAAGTTTGCTAATTTTGACAAGAAAGTCAAACTGTTTGTCGTATTAGGAAAAAGATGAGTATGAGAGTGAAATGAACAGAGTCTGTAAAGTCAAAATTGGTCAACTTGAATGTTGTGTAATAAATGTTGATCAGGTTTCATATGGGAAGACAGCCATTAGTGATTGTAGCTGATCCAGAACTATGCAGACAAGTCGGGATCAAGAAATTCAAAGAATTTCCAAACAGAAGCATCCCTTCGCCTATCTTGGCTTCCCCACTTCATCGGAAAGGTCTCTTCTGGATAAGGTACCTCTCTCTGCATTGACAACTTGTACCCTGCAACGACGCAGACTTGTACCTTACACGAACGATCGATCTCAATTTCTCAATTTCAGGGATTCAAGATGGTCAACAATGCGCAACACGATACTCTCAATGTACCAGCCATCACACTTGGCAAAATTAATCCCAATGATGCAATCATTCATCGAAACCACATCTCAGAATCTCCCAATCGAAGAGGATCAAGACATAAACTTAAACGAACTTTCACTCAAAATGGCTACTGATGTGATCGGAAAAGCGGCTTTTGGTTTTGATTTTGGCCTCTCTAAACCTACCCACCATCAACACAACGATACCCAAATCGACTCTTTCATCAAGCAACACATCTACTCTACAAAGATGCTCAAAATGGACTTGTCGGCTTCGTTTTCAATCATTATAGGGCTCCTTCTCCCGATACTCCAAGAGCCCTTTCGCCAGATACTCAAGAGAATTCCGTACACCCTGGACTGGAAAATTGAAAGAACAAACAAGAACTTGAATTGTCATATTGATGAGATTGTGGTCAAGAAGATGGAAGACAAAGAAAGAGGATCGAATGATTTCTTGTCACTGATATTGAACGCAAGGGAATCAGAGACTACCACAACAAAATTATTCACACCAGACTACATTAGTGGTGTCACATACGAGCATCTCCTTGCTGGATCTGCAACCACATCATTTACACTTTCCTCCATTGTTTATCTGGTTTCTGGGCACCCAGAAGTCGAAAAGAAGTTGCTTGAAGAGATCGATGCATTTGGTCCACACGATAAGATTCCAACTGCTGATGATCTTCAATCAAGATTCCCGTATCTTGATCAGGTGGTTAAAGAATCAATGAGATTTTACGTAGTTTCTCCATTGGTAGCACGCGAAACGTCAACACAAGTAGAGATAGGAGGTTATGTTCTCCCCAAGGTACTTCCTTTACTGCATAACTTACAACTATCCATTCAAATTCGTTCTTCCATTCTTATTTCTTTCATTTTATTCACGAACAGGGGACATGGGTGTGGTTGGCGATTGGAGTTTTAGCAAAGGATCCGAAGAATTTCCCGGACCCGGATAAATTCAAGCCAGAGAGATTTGACCCGAAATGTGATGAAGAAAAGCAAAGGCATCCATATGCCTATATACCCTTTGGGATTGGGCCTAGAGCATGTATTGGTCAGAAGTTCTCTTTGCAAGAAATTAAGCTCACTTTGGTTCATTTATACCAGAGATACGTCTTTCGACACTCACCTAATATGGAAACCCCTCTGGAGTTTGATTTTGGGATAGTTCTTAACTTCAAATATGGTGTTAAGGTTAGAGCCATTAAACGAACATGATTGTAACCTCCATCAAAAATCTTGTGTAATAAAAAGATTGGAATGTATCCAAAGAATTATGTCAGAGGATTCTTCTTATATATTGATTGACCTTAGATCATATCAAAGTATACTCTCACAAACCACCAAGTTCAAGACGTACATGAAAATTGAGTCAGAAATTCGGAAAGTTGTACACAAAATTAAGAACCTTCAAGAAGATGATGGAAGGATCTTGATGCCACTTCCAAGTTCTAGTGCTAGAATTGTGTATAATCTTAGGTGTAATATTCTTGAAAAGTGACCATTGAAGAATATGTATGTTCGGTTGACAAGTTCTTGGTCTTTAATTTCTACACGTTGTTGGATTGTTAGCCACTCATCTTCAAATTGTTGATGTTGATATTGATAGAAACTCCCAAATAAAACATCTTTTAAATATCCAAATGCTAGGTCCGTTACTTTGCACATCAGTTTCAATCGGCCCTTGTTAGTGTAGGTGAGAATCATGTCGATACCATTTTGATTTTGCATATTGGTGAATGTTACGAGAAACAAGTTGACAAATATTGTAAAAGCAACAATATTTGGGAGGCTTACACCAAAATCATATCATACCAAGTACAAAATGTAGTACTTGGACATGTAGTTAAGCTCTAAACAATTCAAATACCTTCACAAAACATTTTTGTAATCATAATCCATACACATCAATCATAGTAATTGCCAGTCATAACACCAAGATTTGTAAAAGAAAAAAAAAATCTTTGCACCCTCAAAAGCTAACAGATTCGATTGGGGAAAAAGTAGCATCATCATCTTGTATACATAATGAAACATCAAGCTCTAATCAACTCAAAACATGTATACTTCTCTATTTATGACCGACCTCCTAAACATTACAGCTGTGCATCAACATCAATAAGTCGGACATTTTCATCTCATTTTTTTACCTCTTTAATTTCAATCAAGGTTTTGCTTTCGATGGAGATGTTACCAAATGATGCAATGTTGCTGCCTGGATGATTGTACTCGGGTTTGAATTTTGCTCCCGGTTTCTAAGAGAACTCGGTTGCCGAGATCCAAAGGTCCGCTCCACGGGTCGCCACTTCCGCGGTAGAAAACGAACCAACCGTGTTGATGTTACCAATAAAATCACACCCGTAACTATCAACAACCTGCATTTGACACCAAAAGGAGTATCAGCAGATAGCAGACAACAGACAGCAGATTGATATTAATCTATTACCATCCAAGTAAAAGCCAAAGACGGGAAGTTGGACTTTCGGGCAGGCGTTCTCCAAGAGCAAGCATGCCAGCAAGTACACCTGTCACAATTGAAGCCACAGCAGCACATGTGGACACAACAACTGCTCTACCATGCTTTAATCCACGGGTCTGTTTATATAAATAATATTCTTTGAATTAGCAAAATTAGCAAAAGGGCAAAATGGTAAATGGAGTAAAGGATATTTGAGAGACCTGGTAAACAAACCCTGAAGCACTGCAGCATATACTGATCGAGATGCAAACAGGAACAAGCAATGCGGAGAATCCCTGCTCCAGGAATACAAATCCCATTTTTGAAATTACAGATGCAATCCTGCATTCGATAGATACGAAGGATTATAGAAAAGGGCATTCTTGTCTTTTGCATACAAAATTTGTTCAGGCTGCAGATATATATGGTACTTGAAAGAGAAAAATACCCGAACAAAATGCCAGATTCCAAGCCGTATATGATCTCCTCAACAACTTCAGATTGCATCTGCATAAAATCCCAAAATAGTAAATACACATAAATACATATATATATATATAAAAGATTATATAAATTTTTATTGAAAAACAAGGGTACTAACCAGTTCTTGCTCTCTTCGCTGACGTCTGTAAATACGAAGCCATCCATTCAAGAGTACCTACATTACATAATACATATACAAAGAGTCAAAGATGTCTCTTTTATGCTTACATAAAATATTGGTAATTTTTGTACAAGTAAATAAATAGATCTCATTTAAAGTAAAAACTAATAATATTAGCATCAAAAGGACAAATAAGTTGAAGAATAAGATACCTACAAACAAAAATGCAACACCACATGCCACCCAAGGCAAGTGTAAGATAGATATTGAGGAGGCCTTTTGCTCCTCTCCTCCAGCACCAACTCCTGCATGCATATATAAAAAGTAAAAACCATATACATAAACCTCAAGTCATGATAAAACTGACATATACAGAACATATATTCTTAACACTCTTAAGTTACTTATAGTTATTATAGCACATTACCAGATTAGCTTATATAGTTTTGTTAGAAGACAACTTTAGAGACTCACATTACCTATGGTGCCAAGGCCAGCCAAGGTAATACCCAGCCAATCAACAGCATTCATGACTTCCTTCAGGTAGAAATGAGAAAACACAGATAGAATTGCAAGACCACATCCCGAAACTGGTTGAATCACAGAGACCTAGATCACAGATATATAGCAAATTATACATGTCATTTATGGATGCCTATTTTCCCCAAAAGGGTATAGGAATGATATTCTAGATATGTATGGATGAGTAAGATGAAAGAGAACTTCATAATTATAGAGAGAGATGTTTGATCAAGAAAGCTTACAGGAGCTAGAGATAATGCGCGTAACATCAGCAATGCCCCAAAGATATCCATGATAAAGCCTATCAGCCATGGCTTATTAGAAGCATATGCTCTTACCACCTACAAGATAAAAGAATTGCATATCAATTTCAACCCAAAATTCATTATCCACACTTGAAATAAGTCAAAAGAAGACTCTTTCATACAAAACAAGTTGATCTAAGATAGGAGACTGCTGAAGAATCTTGTCATATCCTAAACCCTACAATAGATTCATAAGTTCATATTGGGGATATGACAATTTGACCTACCTACAACTAAAAACTCATTAAAATGACAGAATCAAAACACAATTTCAAAGAGAAACTCAAAATTGATGCACAGTATCATCACTGGATCAAGTATGAGCATTCTTAGGAAAGAATAATGACTTAAAGATTCAATGAAGTGAATTTCTTTACCTATTTATGTGGTCATGTTTCTGTTTGTTACCAATTTATTCAACAGATTGGATTTCTTAACCGTTTATGCGTTCATAAACTGGTAAAACTTTTGGTAACAAATCAAACTTGGCTGCACAAATTGGTAAGAAATCAATTGTTGTATAATTTGGTAAACTCATATAACTTGTAAGTCCGCTGCATAAATAGTTATTACCCCTTCTTAGGGATATAGCTTTTCAATTCTATCATACTATTTATCAAGAAATGAACCTATTTTCACATCTAAAATATGTAAATCTAAAACCACATTACCTAATTTCCAAATGCTTAGTGTAACCGATTTGCAAAATAAATCAAGCGAGCAAATGGAGATGGCAGTGAACTCTCAATCAACAAATTAACATTAACATGAACTATGCACATAAGACCACTAGCAAAAGGCGTAGATCAAGAGCTTAATTATCTACAAAAGAAAGATGCATGTATACACAGACTACCGACAAAGAGAATGGATGCGTAAATGAATCATGCCTTGAGTTTGAGAGAGAGAGGAGGGAGAATGACAGTGCCCTTCTTCTGGAGAACTTTTCCGATGTTGTTACCGGCTGTGGCTGCTACCGTCAGGAAGATCGATTCCCACATCTCACTTTCGAGAGCTCTCTTTCTCTTTCTCTTTCTATTTCTCTCTCTCCCCCTCTTTTCGGTCTATAGACGGACGCGTTGGATCATGTATGTTGGGTCGATTGCCGGAATATGCCCCAACTTTCATCTGCTTCCTATTTTCTAATGAAAAAAATTAAAAATTAATAACATAAAAAGTTAAAAACCATTATTTGTATATTTATTTTATGTTTTAGCCTAAAATGATTATTTGTTTTTTATTTATGTTTTAAATTTATGAAAGTAATGATATATGAAATTCATTAATTTTTTTTTTTAATTTGATATTTTTTAACGACAAACAAGCTTATAAAAATGGCTTGAAAGTTGGTTTACTGGGTGTATCTTGTTTCTCTGAAGGTTAACTGCTTCATTTTGAGGGCTTGTATTGGTAGAATCCCCACATCGAAAGCTCTCTTGTGTAGGTGTGTTTTAATTGACGACTCCTCTTGTCCATTGTGTTGCGTGGATGTTGACGAGGCGAATCACATTTTCACTGGCTGCTCTTTTTCTCGAGATGTGTTGGTGTTGATTATGAGGTGGTGCAATATTTCTACTCGTGATTTTACTTCCATAAGGGAGATGATTGAGTTTGCGGCTAATTAGCGGAACTGTCCAAAAAAACGGAAGATTATTGTCACCATCTTCTACAGGACCCTTGGTTTATTTGGAATGCAAGAAATGATAAATTATTCAACAAAAAATGTATTTATCCGGCCAAATTGGTAGACGAGGTGTTCTCTTTAGTTTTTAATTGGGTCAAATTTAGAGGTCGTTTTGGAAATTGTAGATGGATTGATTGGTGTTGTCTTCCCTTTAATATTATGTAATTTGGTTTTGTTTTGTTCTATATAGTTTCTTTCTGTGCAGTGGTTAATAAAAGTGATGCCATTACCAAAAAAAAGTTCTAAGGTTAACAGTGAGTTCAAAAGAGGTTTGTGGAGTAGGGTTAAGTCAAAATTAGCACATTAGCATGTGGAAGAGAAATTGTATTTTATACCTCTCTCTAAGTTGAAATAAAACAAAATAGAAATATGTAACCTTCATATTTTAGTAATATGAAATATATAAAACATATTTTATATTAATATACTGAAATATAGTTATAATGGTATAAAATAATGATTTTCTGGACCTAAGTATGTCATATCAAATATAAGCCTGGATAAAGCAAATTTATATCATTATTTATGTAAAATTAAGATGTTCTCAATGATATATTTAACTTTGAATTGGATATTCCAGGATAAATATTATGATTAAAAATCAAACTAAGCAACTTTAGTTATTTATAAAAATAAAAATTATAGTTAAATAACATTAAATCTATTATTTATTGGATGCTAAAAACATGTACAAAAATGAAAATATATAAAATAAATTTATTAAAAAATTCAGATTTAGAGACATAAAAAAAAACCGAAAAAAAAATGGTTCGTAACAATGAAAATTGTAAAAAAAAAGTTGTAAAGAAAACTAAATTTTCTTGTTATAAAAAACTATGTCTCAAATAAAATTAAGATTTAAAAATATATAAAGACTAATTGTAAACATTAACATTTTCCAAATGTTATTACACTGTAGGTAAGAGCACATCAACCTACAGTGTTATTACACTGTGCTTCAAAGAGTCAAACGCTGCTTTATACAGTTCACGATCTCAAACCAATTACCACAATTGTCATACCGCAACTCCTGCCTCTACCTGCACACCACTTGCTCGATCCGTTCTCTGCACGAATAG